CGATTTGGAGCAAACGTACAAACCGATCGATCTTTTCGGTATACCCGCGTCTACAATACTTGATGGATCGTAAGTATTTGAGCTTAACAAATATAAACATTACAAATTGATTAATGTATTTGATAGCATCGATTTGGATAATGGTAATTGTGAAATAACAATGAATGCAGTCTCTCCGCATTTGGAACTGATCGGTCAATACAAGTTCACCGGAAAACTGCTCCTTTTCCAAATAAACGGCTTCGGAAGATGCAACATCACCTTGAGTAAGTTTCAAACATGTTCGAAGCAAATGTTAATTCTGATTCAATCATTTCCAGTTAATTTGCACACCAAACACACTATGAAGTGCGAACAGTTCGACGTTGACGGTGAAGAGCATCTGAGGGTGACCGATTATGAATTGGACATGAATCCGGAAAAAGTCGTGTACGACTTTGAAAATATGGTCGACGGGAATCGAGCTATAAGCGATGAAGTCCTCAAAGTGATGAACGAAAACAATCTGGATGTTTACGCAGGGATCAAGAAGGATTACGATAGGACTTTCGCAGAAATCTATAAACATATTACGAACACAATCTTGAACAATATTCCCATCAAAAAACTATTCTTGCTATGATTTATGATGAATTGTTCTTGAAAAATGTCTGTTAGACTTGTTACATGTTTAGTTAATTGTTAAGTAGTGTCAGTTGACTCATATTGAAAGTGTTGTTGTTTATATCAATTTATTATAAAGAGTGAAGATAAAGCTTGTAAAGGATTTCGTAAATGAACTGGGAAACATCAGTATCAAATTCGGATCAATACAGTTAACGTGCTTAAAAAAAAAGTACTTGAAAATAAAAACGTTGGATTCTCTCTTCAGCAAATTCAATTAATATCCATATCGGCGTCATCTGAAACTAACGTAAATTAAATACGAATATATATATATAAAATAAATGAATCTACGCACCACTGCTCTCATTAAACATAAACTCTTGCTGGTACTCCTTCAGGAACTGAACGGAACGTCCCTCGTCGAAGAATAGCTCGTACGCTCTTTTAATGTCCTCCACTTCGACTTCGGGCGCTTTTCGTTTTCTCGAAATCAGACTGGAAGTCGTTATGAGTTGGATTCCGTATCGCAGGGAAGTCTCCAAAGCGATTTTCGTCAATACCGTTAACGCGTCGTCGGATAATTGGCAGTCCTCCTCTTCGCATCGAATGCTAAAAATTGAATAATTAATTCGTTATGTATTAATGTAAAATGTTAAAAATTACCTCAATATTTCTTTAAGCTCTTTCTCTTCGTAAGGTGTGGTGGGAACGATGATCAAACGGTCCAACAAATCCAAAGGTATTCCGTGCGGAGATTTGTAATTTGTCCCTCTGATACGAGTGACGCCCCTGTTCGTAGCCATCATCACAATTGGAGCCATCTCATTTTCCAATGCTCTATTTAGATAAGAGAAACATTCAATATCCAACATATGCACCTGAAACCATAAGACTTTTATAATACAGTTATTGGATTACAAATTAGTTTTACCTCATCAATGAACAAAACTCCAGGTATAATTTCAGCTTTACCCTCTTCTCGCCATTCTGCCACTTTGCCATTTATTTGCTCTCTCACCTCTGGTTTTATTTCACCCGTATCACCTGCAAATGTTAATAAATAAATAATAATTTCAAAACTCGACAATTCTGCAACATTACCTGAAAACAATGCCAAAAATCCGTGCGTTCTGCTGTTGATTACATCGATCTCATGCAGCGTTACTGTATGCACGACTTCCTTCCTCTTTTGCAATTCTCCTTCGGGACATTGAACGAAACGCGTCTGTTGACCAGTGGCATCATAATCTCTAGCCCTTGTAAATGAACGTCCAAGCCTAGTGATTTTACCTACAAATTAACATTATAAACTTTAGATAAAAAAAATTATATAATCAATAATTACCTGTAGCTTTATCAATAGTAATGACATCTCCTGATTGAACTTTTTCCTTGAGAATACTGTCAATCATTTTACCACCGAGATCGTAAACAGTCTCCATGTCTGTAGTTTTCAAAATCAATTTGCCCACTTTGTTTCCCTCTCCAGTCGCGGGTCTCTCAATTTGCACTTCAACTACTTCACCTTCAATTATCTCACTTTCCTCCCTACAAACAAACATATTTATCAGTAGATTATAACTTAACAACTTAATTAAACATACTTGATTCTAACACCTATGCTTTTCCTTATCGCTTGTGTCAGAGCTTCAGTTTTACTCATTTCAAGAGAAAAGATCTCTGAGCCAGCCATGCTCGTGAACGGAGTGTCAGCACCGAGGGATGAGGCCAATGCATTTGCTATCGCAGTTTTACCAGTGCCTGGCTGGCCAGCCAACAAAACTGCTCTACCTGCAATCCTTCCCTCTTTAACCATTTGCAGAACAATACCTGCAGCTCTGCGGGCTGACATTTGACCAACCATTCCTTGGGAAACCTACATTGAAATGACATTTTTTATAAATTGAAACAATTAAAGATTTTTTTCGTATTCTCACATTTCTGGCCTCCAAGCTATCGTTCAGTCCCAAACCACGAATATGCGAATGAGCCCCGATCCTCTCGATCCTAGTGATCTCTCGAACCTCTTGCACCTTGGCTGCAGCTGCTACCTGCATTGAAAGAACGTTTATTAAATCGAAGCAATTCAAAAGTTTGATCAATATTCTAGGTTAACTTTGTTAGGAAACTGAATACCGGTTTAATTAAAACTTGATACACTAAAACTGTGGTACTTTTGTAATTACGTGTGAAATATGAATTTACTTACTGCCATGATTGTGTATGTTGTTTATTTGGAAAACAATTTTAAAGTTGTTGGAGCGCACAAAACGAGGTTTATGTTGATTTTCGTTTCGTACCAAATAATTGTAAACAAAGTGTTACCAACATTGACGATTTTAAAGTAAAGTACCAACTTAAATTATTTAAAATATTGTAATGATTGATTCTACAAAAGGTCGTTGGTTCGATTCCCAAAAACCAACAAAAATTTGGTTGTGGTGGCTGTTAAACCCGAAAGGGGTAAAAATAGGGCCAAAAGAGATTTATATGAATTTACTTACTGCCATAATTGTATATGTTGTTTATTTGGAAAACAATTTTAAAGTTATTGGAGCGCACAAAACGAGGTTTATGTTGAGTATTACCAACATTGACGAACATAGACGATTTTAAAGTAAAGTACCAACTTAAATTATTTAAAATATTGTAATTATTGGTTTTACAAAAGGTCGTTGGTTCGATTCCCAAAAACCAACAAAAATTTGGTTGTGGTGGCTGTTAAACCCGAAAGGGGTAAAAATAGGGCCAAAAGAGATTTATATGAATTTACTTACTGCCATGATTCTATATGTTGTTTATTTGGAAAACAATTTTAAAGTTGTTGAAATGAGGTTTTTGTTGATTTTCGTTTCGTACCAAATAATTGTAAACAAAGTCTTACCAACATTGACTAATATAGACGATTTTAAAGTAGAGTACCAACTTAAATTATATAAAATATTGTAATTGTTGGTTCTACAAAAGGTAGTTAGTTCGATTCCCAAAAACCAACCAAAAATTGGCTGTGGAGGATGTTAAACCGGAAAGGGGGTAAAAATAGAGATACAAGAGATTTATATGAATTTATTTACTGCCATGATTCTAAATGTTGTTTATTTGGAAAACAATTTTAAAGTTGTTGAAATGAGGTTTTTGTTGATTTTCGTTTCGTACCAAATAATTGTAAACAAAGTATTACCAACATTGACTAATATAGACGATTTTAAAGTAGAGTACCAACTTAAATTATATAAAATATTGTAATTGTTGGTTTTACAAAAAGTCGTTGGTTCTATTCCCAAAAACCAACAAAAATTTGTTAAAAACATGTTAAATTGCAAATTTCTTCTGACTTTGCTAGAATATTATTAACTTTCTTACGAACGATTTCTAGTAATAGCAAATTAACTTTACTAATTATCACAAATTGTATTATTAAGGAAGCAATTATAAGACTTTGAAGTAATAGAAAACATGAGTAATTTTCCATTAATTATATTTAAATATGTCTAAACGCTAGAACATCGCTAATTAACAATAACAATATGTAAACATGTCATATAAATCATTCCAAGAACAGTTTTTTCTTGGGAATATTATTGAAGATTTTGTTTGTAATGTGGTAAAAAATTTCTGCGAAAGTCCTATCGTAATCCTTCTTGATCTCTGCGTAAATATCCAGATTGTTTTCGTTCATCACTTTGAGGACTTCATCGCTTATAGCTCGATTCCCGTCGACCATATTTTCAAATTCGTACATGATTGATTCCGGTTGCATGTCCAATTTATAATCGGTCACCCTCAGATGTTCTTCACCGTCAACGTCGACGTGTTCGCACTTCATAGTGTGTTTGCTGCTCAAATTAACTGGAAATGATTGAATTACAATTAACATTTGCTTCGACATGTTTGAAACTCACTCAAGGTGACGTTGCATCTTCCGAAGCCGTTTATTTGGAAAAGAAGCAGTTTTCCGGTGAACTTGTATTGACCGATGATTTCCACGTGCGGAGATAATGAATTCATTGTTATTTCACAATTACCATTATCCATATCGACGCTATCAAATACATTGATTAATTTACCTTTTGTAATGTTTATATTTGTTAAGCTCAAATACTTACGATCCATCAAGTATTGAAGATGCGGATAAACCGAAAACGTCTATCGGTTCATACGTTTGCTCCAAATCGACTTGCCCACCTGATCCTGGAATATGCATGTTTGCTAAATGGATGGGATCAATTGGTGGTATACCCAAATCCTTTCTACCTAAAGTTCAGACAAAGTTAACAGGTGATGAATTGAAACAATAAAAATAAATAAATTTACCATTTTGCAAAAGTAAAAGAGCTGATTTGATGGATTTAGCAATGCAGTCAGTATCATGCATCTTGCATATCAACAGTTCGGAGGCTGCAAGAATTTTCAAGTAATCAAACAAAAATCAAAGTTGCGTACTTACGAGGATCGATGGCTTTTGTTTGTGCCAATAGGAGGCAAGAAACGAACAGGAGAGATCTCATGTTGATGTCTCGATGCAAATTGTTGATCAATTTTTGTATTTATATCCGTGGAGCATCTCATGTTTTCTTATTAGTTTAATCGTTCCAAAGATCGCGGCAACACGTACCTGTAATCATCAACGGATTTATGTTTTCTTCTAATTCTCCATGAGATTTGAGATAATTAGAGACACAGCCGTTGTTAGTTTCATGGAATTAATGAGAACGATTAGGTGATTTCAATATGTAATTACTTTTCATAAATACTTCTTTGCAGAAGACGTAACAAATCTATAATTAAGAAAGTTGATAGCCCTTTGCCCTATGTTATTTTGTTGAGTTTGTTGTATGTTGATTGATTGTAAAATGTCGTTTTTGCAAGTTTATTATTGTAAAAGTTAGAAATGTTTATACAATTTGCGATCAATGTTTCGATGAATTTTCAAATAAACTTCTCCGAATTGATTTGAAATTGCACAGTATAATGAGAACATGTTTCTTCTAGTATTTGCAAACGTATTGAAATACAGTCGATTCCGCTTAATTGGGACTAGTACACTTTGTCCCGATTAAACATGAAAAATGTTGTTTGTTGATGACAATTTTTTCTGTTTGCAGAAATACGAATTGTAAATTAAATTGACGAAAAGAAGTAATTTCACATTTTAAACGAAAAAATGTTTTCTCCATAAATATCTAAAATTATTGGTTGAATAACAGTGGAAAATCGCAAGAGATTAGCCTCAGTTTTAAAGTAAAGTTCGATTTCTTGTATGTAAGTTGTTCTGAGATGTGAACTTGCTAATTTAGTTTGCATTTAAATCAATAATCCTACCTGTAATTGCAATACATTTTTTAACAGCTCCGCCAGAAAAAGTCTTATATACAATTTCAACTTCTTCAGTTTCTTCATCATTCATAATTTCTGCGCCAAAACGTCCGCTCTTTCATTTCCTACATGTGATTTAATAAAATAATGTATTGAAAACCGAATTCTATTCTTCAATGTTTTAACTAGTTCCCAATGTTTTTATTTTTGTAACTCAATATTGATCAATCTTTCTTATTTCACAATTTTCGTATCAAATATTTTAAATCTACTTGATTTTATCTGATTTGCTTTTCCACAAAACGTATGGTTTCTGTTTTCTCCTCGATTAAACATTAATTTGATTGATTTTTTCTAAATCTAGACTTACAAATGCTTCATTAACTATTTGCCTTAGACCTTAGTGTAAGTCTTTGATGGGAATATTCAATTATAAACTATTTTCCAAAATCCTGAATCTTGTGAAAATCCTTTATAAACTCGCCGTCTCACTAATAATTCCTGGTTCTTCAAGTATTGCTTTCTCGTGTCCCGGGATTAAGAATCTCATCGTGGATTATCTCATCGTTGCGAGGTCTTATTAAATGCAATATTCTTAATTAGTTTTATTATACATGTCAGAGTTTTTATTGAGAAGTCAACTAAACAATAGTTGGACTATTAACTTCTAATTAAGACTAAATTATATAATACAGAACTGTTATAAAAATGATATCGAAATTAAGGAATATTTGATTGGTTTTACACCGATTTATACCAGAACTACGGGTTATGATTTAACTGAAGTGTTAAAAACTCAATTATCCAATTTGGGTATTCCTCTTCAAGACAAAAACAAGGAGTTCAAGCAAGGATTTTGTCGTCAGAAAATCCATTGGTATTTTGTATCTTGTACAAAAAGGAAGTTAAAAAAAAACTGGCGATTACAATTCGTACCAATTAACATGCAAATAAGCAACAAACAAATTTGTCGCTAATGAGCATGAAGCAATTAAGCAAATCACGTCCAAACCCCGAAAGAAGTAAATTCCAATCGCGAGACAAGCAATAAATCACGTGCGCCGTCTTATCACCCGAAATTGTCCTTTGCGTAAGTGTTCAGGGCAAAACGGAAATGAAATTTATGTATCAAACGCGTAGATTTTGTGTACGTCCCAAATGCATGCCATTAAACTATTCGTACGGTATAAATAGGGTTCCGAATCGTCTGGGTAAGTATTCGAAGCGAAGTGCGAACTTGCAAAAGATGTATTCGAAAATCTTAGGAGTCGCTGTTCTTGTGCTCGCAGTTACGGCGATCCCACTGCCGGACATCTTGAGCGACGATGATGATATGGAGAGGACGGAGATGAACATCGAAGAAACTGGAAAGTATTTCGAAGGTGATATTATCTTGCCGAGCGGAAGGAACGGTCTGATCGACGCGAACACCCATTGGGACAACGGTATCGTTCCTTACGAGATACTAGGTAGCTTCACGACGAAAGAGATGAACATGATCAGCGATGCCATGGACGCATACCATCAGTACACTTGCATCAGGTAATCTGAATGTATTGAGATTTTTTTGAATTGATTAATCTTGATTGATTGATTGATTTCAGATTCGTTCCACATATTGCGACGGACGAGAACTACATCAGCATCACCAGCGATAAGACGGGATGCTGGTCGAGCGTAGGAAAAACCGGTGGACAGCAGAAGGTTAATTTGGAAACGCCCGGATGCGTTACGAAGATCGGAACTGTTATCCACGAGTTGATGCACGCAATCGGATTCACGCACGAGCAGAACAGATCGGATCGCGATGAACACGTTCAGATCCGTTTCGAGAACATTGCAGATGGTTACAAATCAAAATACAATTACGCAATTACTTCTAAACTCTTAAACATATTATAGGTCGTGCAAACAACTTCAACAAAGCCAACAACGAGACGGTGTACGGCTTCGGCGTGCCGTACGATTACAACTCGGTGCTTCACTACAGCTCTCACGCGTTCTCGAAGAACGGAAACCCGACGATTATAGCTCTGGTAAATCAACATCAAGTTGTGCAAAGAATCATAAGTTTTAAGCTGTTTTCCCATCTTTCAGACTAAGGATAAAGTGAGCATGGGCCAGAGGAAGTACTTCAGCTCCGGCGACATCAAGAAGATCAGGAGGATGTATAAGTGTCAGGATCGCAGCGCCGCCTTGACCAACTGAAACGATGTCTCTTGATACCTCAAACAACTATAATAATATTAATATTAAGAATAAAACTTGTCCTCGTTCAATCAATTCTTTGCGTAGTAATTGGAGATCGGTCGCACCGTGAAATAGTAAATTATCTCGACGAAACTCAAAATGCTTGCACCTATAAACAGAGCGGTCGTTCCGCCCATGGAAACTACAAAATAAAACAAATTAGATTGCAAAAAAAAACAAAGCTTATTCTCTCTCTCTATACTAACCGACTAAATCTAATTTTCCTTTGATCACCGTTCGCCTGAATCTCTCCGACGGTAATCGCTCCAAACTTAACTCTACAACAGCGTAATTCTCGGAAATCCCAGTTTTGTCGTCTTTGACGATGGCCAGCTCGATTTCGGTGCAGCTCGGGATGCAATGACAGACCAAGCCCTTTCTGGTCGACCAATGGGCTTTCAGCACGGCCAACTCGTTGTAGTACTTGTCTAAACATTCCAATCCATCGATGGTACATTGGTTCTTGAAAACGGTGTTCGGCATCAGATGATGAGCGCACGAGCACTGCTTCAGTTGGGCATCCTTTCTACATTGCACAGTACATGCCGAGTAACTGTAATGCCTGTACACGTCCAAGTATGACTCGTCCATGAATCTGCAGTTCCTCTGCTTAATATTCACATCTCGGACCTAAATAATAAGTGAAGAACATACACTGTTAACTAACTTGTTAATTATCTGCACTAATTAGCAAATTTCATTGTTTATATATGTGGTAAATACTTATAAAACTACTTTCGAATAGTAAAAGCTATTAATCTAATTTTGGAATGTAATTAAACATAATGAAAATATTAGAAACATTCATCAGAGAATGATAAATAATTACTAACGATAAAAGAAATATCTCAAAGAGTAAGAAAGTAGAGACAATAAAAGTATAACTTTGAATGAAATGTGTAATTATTAAATGAAATCAATATGAAAACGTAAAGATTTTATGCATATGATATTGAAACATGATATAATACTATTATATCAATAACAAAGAGTGAAACGCAAATCATATAATTATATCTATAGAATTGTACTATATACGTGGGGTATAACAAAAGTTCGCTTAGTTGGCGTCAATACATTTGTTTTTTGAAAAAACAAAAGTTGTTTCTTAACTTCTTAAAGTGAAATTTCAAGCCAACTAAGCGAACTTTTGTTATTATAGTGGAAATAACGTTGAAATACTTGTAGTTATTGACCTTACATACTGCAAATATTTCTTTCTTTTCCTGAAATACTCTTATATATCAATACTTCTTAGAAATAAAAAAAAAAACGATTTCAAACACCTATGAAACACAAAAGTTCGCTTAGTTGGCGTCAATACATTCGTTTTTTGAAAAAAAACAAAAGTTGTTTCTTAACTTCTTAAAGTGAAATTTCAAGCCAACTAAGCGAACTTTTGTTATTATAGTGGAAATAACGCTGAAATACTTGTAGTTATTGACCTTACATACTGCATTCTTTTCCTTATTTTATGAAATACTCATATATATCAATACTTTTTAGAAATATATAAAAAAAAAAACGATTTTTCAACGATTTCAAATATCTATGAAAACACAAATTTTAGTATTATTTAATTTACAAACCTCGGGTTGATTTTCAATTTCGTAAATTGCCACGTATCTGTGATAGTGGATGTGAGGCGTTACTTGCAACACATCGTTCTGGAGCGTTGTCAATGATGGAACTTCTTGCTCACCGAGAATGTAAACCTAAAAACGTAATCCGATTAAACATCAACTGACAAATAAATTTTAATTACATTCGAATGTCCATAAATTTCCATTTGAAATGTCCCCGGTCCCGTGCTTCGGTTAGAGATCATTTCCAAGAACTGAACGTTATCTTTCCTGGAGAAAAGAAAAATGCAATTAGATCAAGAACAATCAAAGAATTGGATTAGAGTAATTAGATCACTTGGTTTGCTGTGAGTTGATGCTGTAGCAAGTCCCCAATTCTGTGTCCATCTCGTTAAAGTATTTGCAGCAATCGAACTCTAACTCGTTCCATCTGCAAGATTTGAATATTTGCTCGCAGGAGCTTCGCACCTGAAATTCAAAGTCCGATCAATTCGTACTTTATCTTATGCTAAACGCTTACTAAAGTCGAGAATATAGTGTAATTGTTCATTTGGCAATCGGGATTAGGCGGAGCGTCCGATCCGCAAATCT